TGTTACATGATATAACTGGTACATTATAGTAATCTGGTGACCTATATAATGTTTTGATTTATATTTTGTTTGCTTTTGCACCCACATAGGAGTCACTTCTGTGAAGATCTGCGTGAAGATTTTTTTTTCAAGTGATTTTAGTTAGAAATAAAATTAAATTTGATGGACACAAGTATGTTCTGTGATTTAGTGTACTAAATTTGTTTTTCTGCTTATTCAAGCATTACTTATATGTAAAAATTGCATACCTCATTATTTTAAAAAAGTATAACCAAAAAGAATCTTTGCAGTTGCTTACAGTTTCTTTGTTCAGACACTTTGTAAAAAGAGAACTCTATTTTAGGTTTAATTTAATTTATTTAATTTTTAAATTTAAATCAAATAGATACTTCTGATTTCCTGAAGGTCTATATACATCTTCTCTCCCTCTGTTTGTAACATGCACACATTTCAAGGTAAGTGTCAGAGGCATTGATTTTCACTCTAGGAGCACATCACTACCTTCTTAATGATTGCCTACCTGGAAGCTGATGAGAGTATTTTCCTTCTGCACTTAAAGAAAAAAGTCTTATCCAAAGCTCACTGAAAGTGGTGAGAGTCTTTTAAAATACTGTGTCTTTGGATCCAAACCAAAGACACAGATATGCCTCCCAGGTTACAACCTCATCTTTAATGCTTTGAAACTCATATGAGGGAGTGAAGATTTTTTGTTGTTGTTGCACAATGAGGATATTTCTGAAAATAACTCTCAACTGCATTCCCTCTCCCCCTATGAGATTGGTAAGGTGATTTTGACTGGGTTTTTTTGATATTGTGATCATGTAGTATTGTGCATAAATGTTTTTACGTTATTCACTTCCTTTCAGTATTTGTACTACATTGTAATTAAAATAGTAAAGTGTATCTATGATTCTAGAGCTGCACAAATAGAATACCTATGCTTGACTTACAGCTGTTTGTGATGTGCAGATGAATGAGTAAAAAAGCAGTACCAAAATCTTTTTAATGTCTTGAAAATCATGCATTTTGTTGTGTTTTCAGGGACCATATCTGTGAACACATTACGTACACCATATACTGCACCAGGAGAAAGTGAAATCCTTGACTTGGATGATGACTTATATCTTGGAGGACTACCAGAAAATAAAGCAGGCCTAGTCTTCCCAACAGAGGTGTGGACAGCACTTCTCAATTATGGATACGTCGGCTGCATTAGAGATTTATTTATTGATGGTCAAAGTAAAGATATTCGACAGATGGCTGAAATTCAAAGCACAGCTGGAGTAAAACCCTCATGCTCAAGAGAAACTGCAAAACCTTGCCTTAGCAACCCCTGTAAAAACAATGGTGTGTGCAGGGATGGGTGGAACAGATATGTTTGTGATTGCTCTGGCACAGGCTACCTTGGCAGATCGTGTGAAAGAGGTAGGTTCCATAAGATGACTGCATTTCTGTTTTATAGAATCCTACACAATGATTAAAAATGGTAAACTGTCATTAACTTTCCTGAGGCAGAGAAAGCATCCTGGTTTTTATTTGATATGAGGTGGAGCCCTGCTCTAGACTGAAAGAAATAACTCTAGAGGAAAGATCTTAGGGGAGACTCTAAGATGCATGAGGAAGTATTTGTTACCTATGAGAGACAGTCAGTATTGCTGAATGTCCCTTAGAAAATTCCTCCTTTTTCTCTCATCATACATTGCTGAGTTCTGAAAGACTTTTGTGAAAGCAATTTTAAATAGCATTGCATGGCTAAAGGGTCCCATTCCAATTCCAAATGGAGGTCTTGTTCTCTGCCTATTTATGTGAATATCAGTCTTTTATTAAATTTACTCTTGAATTCCACAGTATCACTTAAATCTGTGACCAGAACTTCACCCATAAGTCAAAGCAGAAGAATCTATGTAGGAACTGATATTTCTTACTTAACTCTTTTTAAAAAGATCCTACTACCCAAGAAAACTTTCTAGTTTTCTTAAATTCCCAAGTATCCCCCTTGCCTATAAAAGGCAATGAAGTTGACAAATGCCATTTATTTTACAGAAAAGGTGGATAGTGGCAAGGAAAGCAGATGTTGAAATTAGTTAACAGGTAGAAAATCCTGTAATTCATATAAAGTTGTGGAATGCACTAACAAAAGATTTTAATCTAAGCAGGCAAACAGTAAGAAAGTGTGTTAATATTTTAGGCATTTATTTTTATTCTTATTGAAATAGAAAATGTGTCAATGGCAGAAGTGGTATTTTTTCATCTTATATTTGACATAGAAAAGATTATCTTAAACCTTAAATCTATACCTAAAGTTTATTGACTAGAAATGTAAATTTTTTTCATCTAGTTTGATCATTTTTTCTAGCTATTCAGATGAAACAAAAATGTATTATTTAAAAATAAAACCCTAACCAACGTTTCAAGTTGTACATAAATAGATATGTGGATTTATATAGTATTAATACCACCATATTATTAGCATTTGCAAGAAAATTCTCCGATTTTTCTGTGGGTTTCTCCCGTCTTATTTTCTGACAAATTATGCCTTTGGCTCATGGCCAGTTATTCTGAGCTCTCCAGATTGTCGTTGCTGGTGGAGTGGAGCTGGCAGAGGGCACAACCGAGCTGCTTGATCATCCCGAAGCCTTCGCTTAAACATGGCTCGTGTACCACCCTGTGGCCAAACTCTCCTATTACAGAGGGCACAAGTGACAAAAAACGGATGTGCATTTTTTTTTTTTTTCCGAAGAAAAGCCGGGAAACCTGCGTTAGAGACATAAACACATGCCGATCTGCAAAGAACTTCCGAGCAGGCTTCATCATAAAAATTTCCCATAAATATATTGGACAGGAGGTGATACTTTATATAGAAACCTTTGTCTTTCTTATTTCCCATGCTTTCTTTTCAGTCACTGTCCAGTTTAGGGCTTCATTTTCCCAGCACATGCCCCTAGTGGGAATGGTGGCACTATAGTGGTGGTGTTGGCTTCTCTACAATAACATTTGGTTCTTGTCCAACAGAAAAACGTGCGGCAGTTCAGCAGTATGGGATCATTTCCTGCTCTTGGGTTTCCCTCTCCAGAGGAAACTGCACTGAAAGGAGATGTCTTCTCAGTAATATTCATATCCCAAATGGTCATGCATTAGTAAGATTAGAGCATTTGGGATTCTGAAAGCATTGTGTTGGCATCGTACCACACAAAGTTATTATAACTACTACCAATGTGCAGTTACTGATAAACTTTTGTATTTGGTGATATAAGCAACACAATTATAATTGTTTGAACTAATTTAAAGAAAATAAGAACACGTTCATTTCAAAAAACAATACAGTTTCACAAATAAAAGTTTATCATAAAATATTGGAGGTTAAATAAATGGAATATTTAACATTAAGTTATTAAGGTGTCTTCAGTAAAATAAAAAAAAACAAACGTGTAGCTACCTTTTATTACTATAACTTATTTTTCATTCTATTTTCCCTAAAACAGGAATGTTAACATCCATATTTGAATGTTTGGTGTACAATACAGAATCTGAAATGATTATTAGTGCACAATAACCCTGGAACACAACTTGACCCTATTTTAATTTGTGTATACTTATAAGTATACATATATATATATATATATATACATATATATATATATATAATGTCCATGCCCATTTTATCCTATTGAAAGTTATTCTTGTTTTTACTCTGGATTTTCAGTAAGGTTAAACATCAGTATAATCTGTAGATTGGCTTTAGTAGATTATGAAAACTACAGCAGATGGATGGACAGATGTCACAGCAATATAATTTGGCTTCCTATCTTTCTTTGTAGATCACAGTATGTATCTGCCTCTTGGCAAGGCCTTTTGCAGGTGTATGCTCTTGACTGGATGGCTAGGAACAATGAACAATAGTAAAATAATCAAACAGTGCTAAGAAAAATTAAGCATGCCAACAAAGATTTATGAAAGTGGCATTTCTGAGGCGAAAATATGTTGAAAGTTGAATGTGTGTAGGCGTCCACATTGTCCATGCACAGGCATTTGTGTACACATATGTACATTAAAGAAATGTAACTTTCATTCCTTACATTATATCTGGTGGCTTTACAGCTTTAAATTAGGAAAAATAAAAGTGATATGATCATGTGCTCAAAATATTAGAGCAATTCCATCACTGTCTTAACTGATTGGTCCTGTGTGTTAAAGTTCTACTACCTGCATGCTAGATGTGACTTGGGACCTCAGTCCTGAAATAATACCAGTGTAGGAATTGGGAGGAACCATTTCAGCTTCTATTCACATATTATCTAGTAACAAATCACATACGAATAATTGTTTCTATCAGACTGATGGAAAGGTTCCCTATGATTCACCAAGGCTGCAGCTTTGGGCCCAGAGGGACCGAAGTAGTTGCCATAGAGAAAACACCAAATGCCTAGGAATAGAACAAAAACTAAATTTCACTCAGTAGCAGCCAATACATATTTGGATAGTCACGCAGTTTCTAGGAGTAAAATGGTGTGTATCAGGGAGTGTTTCCAGGGCACTACTATTGCTCTACTTATTCTGGTAAATAAAATAAGATCGGAGAGCAAACCTGAATACTTGATTACAGATGATACGGATTGTTCACATACTTCCCAGAATGACCCTGGACTGCATCATCTGTCACTTTCTGGGCAAAGTTTGTGATTTTGTCTGAGATAGCAGATACAGAGAGTGATTTTATGCTTTAAAAACAGCTCTGTGGGCTGCAACAGAATCTCCATATTATTGCAGACACTTTGAAACTGAAAAGGCAAGAAAAAAGTAATTCTCTCTTTGGGATTTCACAGGCATCACAAGGGGTTCAGAGGAAACAAGATCCTTTTTTATTTATTGAAATATATGCAGTAGGCATCTGTACTCACCAAGTATCATGTTTTTAAAACAGCACAAACTTGACTGCAGAATTTATGAGAAAGAACACTGAAATTCAAGTGCCTAGTCCATACTTCTTTCACTTTAATTTAAATAAGCTGTGACCTGAACAATAGCATCTGGTTGGAAAATTCTGCCTATCCCTATAAATATTCAGTTCAGTATTTCTGAAGGTAGGAACAGTTGTAGGTAAGTTTTGAAATGAGTTGGTGCCTCAGTCTCTTGAACAATTTAGGTAATTGCAGCTCAAGTGAAACATAAGGTCCTGAGTCCACTCTCAGGTCAGTACTAGTCTTTGCATCCTTGGTATTAGGCACAGAGATGATTGAAGTGTTGTATGTGTATATGTATATGTAGCAAGGAACTCTATCTAACCCTGAAGATTTTAATAAAAAACAAATTGAAGAAAAAAAAATGGAGAAGGGGAACTGAGTGGGTTCTTTTTTGGGTTTTGGTTCATTTGTGTGTTTTGGTGGGTTGGTTTTTACTTCAGAAGCAACAAAGGTTTTAATTGTCAAGTTTATGAAAATATCAAAGAATAAATGTATAAAATACCTTTTTAGAAATCTTATGCATTACTGTTCATTTCTTGTTAGTAACTCTACTGCATACACTTACTTGCTGCCACAAAAAAAAAATTGTCAGTGATGTATTTTTAAGGATTTTCTGCTATTTTTCTTTTTAGTGCTATGGTTCCAACACTGGAGTGGTAGTAAAACTATTATTCTTCTCTGATTATATAAATGAATAGCAGATTCTGAGCTAAACCCATTGTCTATTATCATTTGATCTAATAATTAAAAGAAAGCTGAACAAGAGGAAAAAGACTTTCTGACAACATTTATATGAGAACATTTATCCATGTAGGTTTCAAATAAAGATGAGATAAATACCTCCTTGGAATTAGTTGGTCCAAAGCAAAAAAAAAAAAAAAAAAAAGGACAAATCATCCCTTTAAGGTTTGCATAACTGGTGCCTCTCGTCATTCAGCTCACCATCTTACTAACCAGGCCTTGCAAATTAGCAATTAATTCTCACCAGTTTTGCGTTTGTTTTTACTTTGTTTGTTGTTTGGGGTTTGTTTTGGTTTTTTTTCTTTCCCCTGTGATACCTTTGAATTTAGAAAACTGATGACTTGGAACTCCCCATATTGAAAGGAGCTAGTTCACATGAGGGAGCTTCCTCATTGCCCAGAGGTTTTAAGTCATTTGCTCTTCTGTTCAGTATCCTTGGTCTGTTCTTGGAACATCTGTTTCCAAAATAACTGGCACAGTCTGGTTTAGGAGGATTGAGTATCTAATCACATCAGGTCTGTTCACCATAGTGTTAAATACTCACAGGTCATCTCCAATTAAATTAAGACAGTTCCTTCTCTCCTTTTTATGTAATTTTCTAAAAAACTTGGATAATTATAGGAAAGTTGGCAAATTGTAACCATGCTGACTCTGACAACTTTCTTTTACATTATCTTAGGATAATTTGTTACCTGAAGACTTCTAGTGTTGCTAAATGTTGGGTTTGCTCTGTATATGAATACTGTGAATACTATTAATACAGTGGTTTTTAATAGACCATATAAAATACCTTTTATATTCTTTTACATTAGCATGTAACTTTAGCCTTTTTGATAGAATTCTTTATCTAAATCGTATTTACCTTGATAAAGATCTTGTGAGTTTTTATGCACAGGCTAGACAGCTAGACGTAGGAATGAGTTGTAATATAATTGTAACATAGATATAAGAATGAGCTTGTGACTTTCACTCCCTGCTCCCCTCAAAAGAAAGAAAGGAAGAAACAAACACACAAGAAAACCTAAACCCCAAACCAACAAATAGAAACCCCAAACAGTCAAAAAGCAAATCACCTTCCACTGAAAACTCTTTGACTTGAAATCTCTTTTCAGACTGTTGCAAGTATTTAACCTGCTTCACCAAAAAATTTTAGGTATTGAATATGATGAAAATATCATTACGTGCATAGATACAAATCATCAAACCTGTCAATGGGTTCTTCTAACCTTTTACATCTAAGGACTTTCACATCAATATTAGTAATCCCTTTTTTTCCAAAATCAAACTGTTTTCTCCAATTTGTATTAAAGAAGTCTAAAATTCTTTACACAGGAGAAGGGTGCCCAGAGAAACTGCAGATGCCCTATCCCTGGAAGTGTTCAAGGCCAGGTTGGATGGGGTTTGAAGCAACCTGATCTAATGGAAGGTGGTCTTGCCCATGGCAGGCATTTGGAACTAGAGGATCTTTAAGGCTTCTTCCAACCCAAACCCTTTTATGATTCCATTAATGAAAATATTATCTATCATTTTTGCCTCTTACAGAATTAGTGGAGCCTTTTGTCCTTCTATGTATCGTGTAGGCTAGAAGTCTTGAAGAGCTTATCTGTCTTTAACAGTATACAAGATATGCAATGGAAACAGTTTTGACAAACTTAGTTATGATACTTGCTAAAGTTAGTATCAGTATTATTATTCCTTGAAAATATTATTGCACGTTGAGACCATAATACACCTTTGTTACAGAAAAGTGTCTCCATTATACTGCAGCAAATTGAAGCAGAGGGATGTTTCCCATAGGTGTTCTCTGCTGTCTTCTCTTTCTGCTCGTTGGTCATTTGGTCAAGTAACTGACATTTTATTCAGTAAGTTGAGGTGCCCTCAGAATTGTACCTTTTTCTAAGAAAAATTCTGTAGCACTGTGTTTCGATTTCGTCATCTAACTCTTCACCCATTTCTGAGATGGAGAGTTTCTGAGTTAAAGAATGGAAGAAGCTAGAAGGTCTCTAGTGAGGTAGTGCTAGGTAAACAATCAGATGTGCATAAAAACAGGGCACATTCAGACAGTGTATTTTGCCACTCAGGTAGAGATATTAGTTAGGAAGAATGGATAGTTTTGTGTGTTTCTGCAGAGCCTACCGGTGTTCTGCCCACTGACTGTTGTGTTTGGATGGAGGATGTTGCTCTTTCACAGCTTCTTCCACCATGATATGCCATTGTCAACAACCCTAAGAGCCATTTCCAAAGGCTGTGGTGGTTAACTGGTCGCAATGTTTGTTTGTCCTGCAAGAAAGGACTTACTAATACATTTCAGAAATACATTCTCTTTGCTTTCCAGGAACCACAGTGTCTCCCTGTGAGCAGAAATGCAGTCTTTTTGCTACCGTCTTGTTACCAGCCTGGAAGCTGGGAGAAGAAGACTTGTAGCTGGTTGCTCTGGGCTCTAACAGACTGTGATTGCTCTGTGTCAGGGCCTCTCGCCGGGAGGGTTTCCTGTAATGTCTCAAAGTGACGGTTACTTGCTCGTCTCGGGGGTTTTAAGATCTTACCCTCAATATGCCAGGTCTAGTCTCCATCCTCTTGTTGAGGCTGTCATAATCTTCATGTACACATTTTTGCTTCTATACCACAATTTTTGTAGTCATGAAGCAATCTGTGCCCCATCCAAACCATGCTGGGCACAGTTATCCATTTTTAGGAGGCTTTTTGCTAACTGAATGATAATTGTAACTGTGGTGGTAGCAATGCTGATAGGTTTATACATGAACAATCCTAAAGGTGGTTATCCAGATGAATGACAGTCAGACATGGCCTTTTATTAGGCTGTAAGGATAACTGAATGTCTTTTACTGGCTTTGACCTATTTTGAGTTGTTCAGGCCTAGTTTTTCAAGTATTGCTTTGTATGTGATTTTACCAATCTGATTGACGATGCATACATGACTGACTGCGTCATTAAGGAGCAATTTAGTTTCTTCAAAAAGCACCAGGATATAACTCTTAAACAAAACAAAACAAGGGAAAAACCTAAAAAAACCCAAACCCAACTTTGCTTATGTTTCTCAGTAATAATAATGAAATGTAATATCTAATTTTTCTGTGTCGTGCTAAGTCAATATACATTTGCCATCTTCAAGGTGCTTCGGTAGACAGAGTATGATTCTTTAATAACTGATTTTCTCCCTTATGTTTTCAGAGGCAACAATTTTAAGCTATGATGGAAGTATGTTTATGAAAATACAGCTCCCTGTTGTGATGCACACAGAGGCCGAAGATGTTTCTTTACGGTTCAGGTCTCAGCGAGCTTATGGCATTTTAATGGCAACAACTTCCAGGGAATCTGCAGATACCCTTCGTTTAGAGTTGGATGCAGGACGAGTTAAGCTAACGGTCAACCTAGGTAACAACCTCTTCCTCCAAGAAATTAACATTTTCTTTGCATTTTTCTTTTTGCTTGCAAACATCTACAAAACAGCCTGTTTTAACATTAAAAGTAAACTGAAGTGATATATAAACACATGTCAATGCAACATTTGCGTATGTACATACACCAGTACATGGCCATTATTACATTATTATGATTTTTTTTGTTTTCTTTTGCATTTTTGTATTCTTTATTTAGTCTTAACATAATCCATCACAATATTTTTGTACTATTGTGTATTCTAAAAAAAGAAGACAAATTCATCAGTGGTATTTTTGGGCTAAATAATTATTCTTCATTGTGGAATGCTGATCTCCTTCCACAACTTCTTCACAGTATTAATTCCACAACTTAAATGTGCAAGCAGAAACAATGTGTATGTAGGTCAATTCAGTTTTACCTCCACCAGTTAATGTACAACATGAAAATATATCAAAGACTTTCTAGTTTTAAGACTAGAAATGTTGCAGTTAGATATTGCCACTGATGGATTTCTTGGTCTCCTTTTTTTAGGTGTCAAATCTATAGTAAATCCATCTCTTCTTTTTTAAGAAATTCTGTAGTGGTATTTTTGTAGTATCAGATGATAACACAACCCTTCAATGCCCAAAGACTGCGGCCCTCAGCAAACAGCCTTGTGAACACAGGAGGCACAAGCCCTTTTACAGAAAAAAAATTGGTTTCAGTGTTAAAAATATGGACAAAATGTTAGGGTATGGTTTTCTGTAGTTAAAAAAGAAAATAAGGAAAGTAATAAAAGCACTTCTGCCATGCTTATGAATAAGTCCGAGTCAGGGCCTGAAAGAGAACAGGAATATGCTGAGGAAAATGCACTTTCTGTGCAGCCATTCCCATTCAGCAGAACGCTATTTTTAAAGGGAATAAAATCTTTTATTGTTTTAGTTGCAGATAAATGACTTCTAGAAAGCATGAGTGGGGGTGAGAAAATAATCACCCAAGCCTCCACTTCATGAAAGCGTTGCTCACTGAAATACTGCCCCGGTGTTCAGCTATCAGAAGGGAGAAGGAGAAGCAAAGGGTATCCCAGTTGACTCTTGCAGTCCCCTCCAGTGTGGATTGGGGGCTGCTGCAGGCTGTGGTGGGGAGGCTCCCCAGTGCTTTCTGTAAAGGGGGTGTGCAGGTGCTGCTCCTTGGCTGTTTGCAACCACTTTTCTGATGCGGTTGACGACACATGACAAACTCAGCTATATGGAAACAAAATCTAGGTTTGATGGTATATCTGTTCCTCAAAGGTATAAACCAGGAGTAGCAGTACAAATCAAGTAGCGTGGTGTAGATTTTAGATTTTTTTTTTTTCCCAGTAATAAATAAATGCAGGTAGCTCAGCTGATGATTGCGGACAGATCAGGTTATTCTCTTTACATACAAAACAGCAGCCTCCACCTACTTCTATAGTTTGTGAAAGTAAATAAAGAGTAAACAAATCTATGCCCTAAGCAATATTGTTTCTCCCTCCAATGCTCCCTTTTTTTTAATTTTTTTTTTTTTTTTTTTTTTTTTAGTCAGGCAAGAACATAATCTCAAAATATAAAGGATTCTTTTCGTTCTCTAATCAATGTTTATAAATATGTGACTTTTTTTTTCCCTGTGTGTTAATGTAGCTTTAAAGTAGTCACGGTTCATTTCTTAAATCTATACATTAAGGATATGAAAAACCACAAAACCTTATTTGCAGGCCTAAGTAATATTAATACTTAGTTTTTGAAGATAAACCTTTGAGGTATACTATCCACAAGTTGTCCAAGATGTCTGATTGTGGCCTGGCTTGCTCTATGACCCATTGTGACGGAGCACTTTTTAATTGCATTGAGAAAAAATACCTGTTCTTTCACAGATGGGGAGAAAGTTGCAGCCTGCCTCAGTTAAGCATCTTTGACTTTTAATCCTGATTTTTCACTTAGATTTGTCACCATGTAGCTTTGTTTGAAATTGGCCATTTTTACCCTATTTGTCGTTTCTATTTATAAAGATTTATCGCAGTATATCTGGGTTATAACAGTATGTAAAGACTGATGATATGGAGTGGCCATATTTGCATGTGTCTGTCCCCGGAAGGGTGGACTGTGATTTTATTGGATGTCTGCAGCTATTACCTTGAAGGATAAATTTTCATTTTTCATCTATTCTTCCCCATCTAGACTGTATCAGGATTAACTGTAATTCCAGTAAGTGCCTATTCAAACTTTTTAAAATGTTATTCCACCATTATAAAATATGCAAACTAGATGAAAAAGACTGTGGACAGCTTGCAAGCACTCGATAATTTATTAATTAAATGTGATGATTAATTATCATTGTGTAAAAAGTCATCATATACTCTAGCATATATTTTATGTCCTTCCCATAGGACATAACTTGAGCTAAAATATTAAAAAGTATTCTACAGTTTGTAAACAAACATAGAGGAAATGGTACCTGTAGTACTGTATTATTCTAGATGAGCTATTTTATTTACAGTAGCCATAGAATTTTTGAACCAGCATTTCTGATAAGCTGTCACACATTCTTCCCCTGTGTCCACCTTCTAGCCTTCTTGACATTTTGCCTTCAGCTTGTGGTGAGACTGTTGGGACATAATTGTTTATACCACAAAAATTTGGATTTATAATTCTCCAAGACAATTAACTGTATTTGCTGGCTGGTTATAGCATATTGGTTTTGCTAAATCTTTGGTTTATGTAAATGTGATACATTGCAATAAGGACATTATTAAGTCTGAAAATAACCATATTTTTATGATGATTTTTTACACTCTAATCATGTAAAAAAACCTTAAATTGAACAATTTTTCTCTATGATATGCATGTTTATGAAACAGAGGGAAACATTTGCCAGATGAATGGACTAAATTTTAACTTCTCTGATATTATTTGGATTAAGAGGCTATATTCTGAAAGGAGAAAAAGGACTGTGATTTTATTTTGAGTCTATGGAATTCCTGAATGGTGTCAACAATATTATTGATAGTAAGTATGGTAGACTTGAGTTTTGGGTTGTTTTTTTCCTTCCCTTCTTAACAGGTTTTGCAGGCCAGAGCACTGGCTTTATGCAAATAGAAAAAAAAAACAAAAAAACAAACTCCACAGGTGTAATTTGTAGTTGTTAATAGTTAAAAGACATTAACATAACATTCCTTAATTGTTTTATAATCCACAGAGAAAAACAAGGATCTGCAGTTATAATTTATAATTTGCTAATAGTTTTTACTATTAATGATTTTACAAGACAAAATTACAGCATTTGTATTAAAAAGCAGAGTTTTCTCGGGACAAATTTTTAATCTAAACCATACTTAAATCCAGACAGACTTTTCAATAGAATAAAGAAAATGCTTGTAGGTACAAAGACATAAAGATAGCTTCCTTTAATATAAAAAAATAAACTTAAAAAGTAAAACTTTGTCATTTATAAGCACAAATATTTTCTATTGCCACTTACTAAAATGTAAAACATCATGAAAAATCTAAGAAACATTTTGTTGGTCTGCCAAAGGACACTGGTTTTTTATACTGAAGAAGTCCCAATGAGAAAAAGCTTTCCAAATGTAAGACAAACAGCTTTTTGAGCAGAAATGTAATGAGGTTTCCTGCTGCTTGTAAATTCCTTTTTCCCTAGAAAAGCAATAGTGCTTTTTTTCTTAACTTCCTTACTAAAATCAGAAAATCCCTTTGAAAACAGAATTACTAACATAGGGAAAACCCCAGGAATAAAGCCACAATATAACAGGTGTTTTCATTTTTTAATCTCTTTTGGACTAAACGGTGTGTCATAAAAATAAATTTAAATGGTTTCTAGGTTTCATTTTTAAGCAAGTTTTGGATCAAAAGAGAATCTGCAAACACAAAGTAATAAGCCTCCAATTAGGGGATTGCAAAGGCGAGAAATATATGTACTGGATTGAATTAGCAGTTATAAGTTCTTCTTGTTCTCATACAAAAGCAGCATAACGTCTCTACAAAATATCCTTGATATAAAATACTCATAAGTTATTTTTCTTTGCAGTTTGTTTGTAGTCTTTTTGTTATTAGAATTGAACTTTCGTGATTAGTTCCATCTCCCTTTGGTGCTTGTGTACTGAACAGGGTTTTGTGAGCTTTCAGTATGGTAAGTACTGCAATATTTTCTTATCTGCACTCACTGTGCTTTTTCAACAACCAGATAACATGTTTTAATTTTTAGATTATGAAGAATTATTGCTCTTAGCAGTCCTTAAAAAATGCTTGATTATTAGGCAACATAATGGGATTTTGCTTAGAAGTTAGTCATGTTAATATAACAGACTGGTAACAGAGGTAAGGTCAGGATGAAGCTATCTGGCTTGAATTTGGAGAGATAGCTTTGGAAAAAAAAAGTTAAACTAAACATAAACAAGCTTGAGAGAAGAAAAAGGAAGATGTGAATGTAAGCACCTTATCCTACTTTGACCTTGTGAATAAAACACTGCACCTCTTCCTCTCATTTTGCCTTGAGTGCATCCTGAAGCCTGTCTTCTGCTCACTACAGATCAAATGAATAACTGTTGGCTGGACAGAGCCAAGATTTTGGTAGCAATTTTTTCTACACTTGGTCATGTCTTCACCTTTATCTATTGTCCTGTCTTGCAGAAGAGGTGGCATTTTGTGGTCTTCCTTGTTTGAAGTACAGAATATTTTAATATTTCAAAATGTTAATCAGATATCAGCTCACTACTGAGCTTGTTTCTCATTAATAATCTTATGGAGACTGTTCATGCTGTTTGTGTGGAACTGTGTAGCATACTGAATATTTTGTGCCAGGCTGGAAGATTTGTATCCTCATAAAACCTTACACCACTCAAAATTCTCTCTCATGTTGGTCAGAAAATACCATTGCTGCAGTGTTGGTTTTGTACATCTTTAAATCACTTCATTGTGCTCTTCAGACCTGCAAGCTTACAAAACAAAATTGTCTGTCAGGCAGTGAAATAAATGGTCCTTCTAAACGACAGGTACACGTAGGTTAATGTTGCAGCTGACACCAGAAGAAAGGGGAAAAGTTATTTTATGAACAGAAATAGCTGCTATGGTTTCAGTATTAGGGTTCTTGGCTGAGGAACTAATTTTAAAATAAGACTGCAGTGAACTCTGTTGGTTCAAATAACATGAATGCACAGCATTTTTTGACATTAGTCATTCTGTAAAAACTAAGTTGATGGCTATACAGCTCCTATATATTATATACAAAACTGATAAGCTAATCCTTAAAAATTGACTAAGAATAAATTATTAAAAAAATAAAATAAAAAACGCCAAACCAACTCTCCCTTTCAGTGAAGGGAGTAATTGTTACCTTTTAATTACAAACTATAAAGCATTAATTATAAACAGCAGTGAATCCTGTTGAAGTGAATGGGATATTTCCCTAGTATTTCTTAAAGACGGGACTTCATCCTATAAAATTTACGTTACAGTTCAATAAGAGTTTCTGAATGATTTGTGAACAAATACAGGTGTGCTACATTTCCCTATTTTTCACTACTGCAATGTTAAGAGCTAATATCTTGACTTAAATGAAATTCCATTTTTTTCACACTTTTAATGCTTCCAAAGCATTAGAATCTGAAAAAATCCAAGTACCTGTAGCTCTAAAGGCTACGGGTTTTATTATGCAATATGCTTTTTGCTATGTCACAGACATGTGCACTCCTACGTGTCATTTCATCTTTTGGGGTTTAAGCATTTTTTATATTGTGTTGCTATCGTTTCTGAAAATAAATTTTCTAGATTTTTATATGAGTCAGTAGAGTAGGACTGTAGGGTTTTCATTAATTGATACTGTATAATATTAATAATGTTAACTGGTATATAGCTGGCTCTCATTTTCCAATCTGATACTTTTGCTCAATATGAAAAGATACAGGATAATACTTTTTTGAATGCTGCTGTGAAAGATTGCTCAACTAGTGGCACACAGTGCAGGAGAGATTTAGGTCACTTTTCTAGTACACAGTTTTGCTTCTCTAGGCAATAATTCACAGAAAAATCACATTGAATTCAGTTACACTCAAATGTGGGACTGTCACAAGAAATTGTTATGAATTGCAGAATGTTAGGGAGTAGAGAGTACTGTGGTAGTATACATGTATATAATTCTCCAGGGAATGTGTGAACCAGCTTTGCTAGCTGGGTGTCTACCTTTTTCAATTAGGAAGAGTATACTGGGGTTTGAGGATTTTCTGCTTACTCTTCCAGTGAAGTGCCCCTTCACAGATTGTATTTACATGCACCTCTCCTTCTTTTGTCAATCTACTTATTCATCCGTTCTCTATGTCATTTATTTTTCCTCTCATTTTTATTTTCTCATTCGATTTCATTTCTCTGTTCTTCTCTATAATCCTCATTTTTTTTTCCTTGTTTTCTATGTTCATCTTTTAAAACTTTCCTGTTCTGCAGATGTGCTCATTACAGATGATTAAATTATTCTGTTTGGCATATGCAACACCTGTTACTGAAGCATTTCTTTCTTGTCAAAGTACTCTACAAATCCAGGGCATGACAAGAGGCTCTGTCAGATTACTGGTAAATAAGAGGGAAACCGTATATATTAAAGAACCAACAATGGTGTTCAATTACAGTATATTTTCAGTTTGCACATGAATTTTAAGCAGGAGAAAAATCTTAAATGAAGACTATACATCCTTTTGAAAGCTACTGCTTGTAAAACTGCATTCTATTACAAAGTCCACAATCTACAGCTGTGGTCTTATGGATATTCCAAAATCTACTGTGATAAGCAAATCATTCATATATTTTCCGAATCTACAGCTGTGGTCTTATGGATATTCCAAAATCTACTGTGATAAGCAAATCATTCATACATTTCCATGTAGTTACTTCTTACTATCTGGTGAAAAGAATTATTGGAATATACTATTTGTTCCATTTTTACTGTCATTGGTAGTGAAAAATCGTTAAAATTATAGAATTTTTTAGCTCCACGCAAAATGTAAGATTTTTTATTTGGCCTGTTTTCTTACATAGCACTTGTGAATTGGGTGAGAGTTTGATTTTTTTCTAATTAGGTATGACTGACAGCCCACTAAAAATATGCAATAGAGCTTTACCATAGAGAACATGCAGCAAATCAGCAGGCTACTTTCACTGCAAGTTCAGTGAGGGACTCTCCTCTGATGGTGGCATAAAATTTG